CCGGAGAGTGGCGTGGCCGTGGCAGCGTACGCCTCACACCTGGAGGGCGTAGTTGCGGCGCTGCTGGCGATCGGGCAGCGGGCGTCCGGCGGTCGTGACGGCAGCGCTGACACAGTCCGGAGCGCCGGCCGGCCGCCTGTGCGCAACGCCACCCCCAAGAGCAGCGGCAGCGCGCGGAGCAGCAAAGCGAGAGTTGGCGGGCTGGGGGCGGCGATGGCGGAGCCCGTGGCGGGGGCGCGGCCTGACGGCGGGGGGCTCGGGGCATGGCCCAAGAGGCGGAAGCGCGTGAGGATTTCCGCTGCCACAGAGGTACTACTCTGCATCTTCAAGTTGAACTAGCTAATGATCTGTCGAAAAGGCACTTTGGTACGCAGCGATCCGCTGTGACAGCCAGCCAGCTTCTGGGATGACCGTTTTTGTGTCGCCGGGAACTTCAAGTTGTTTGTGAATTACCTCAGCGGCTGCATCTGATGGTCTCATGCGATCACTTCAATGCACAATAGGTTAGTAAGAGCACACCATGCAGGTGCATGAAAGTAGGCTGACTCGGCTCCCATTGCGACACAGCAGTCGTCAGCGCAGTTGATATTGTAGTGCCATTGCATATACTATAATGCCCACCCTGCTCAGCATTCATGTACTTAGTTATTATACTCAATGAGATGATCAATGCAGTAGTAGGCAACGCTCTGCTGAGCTGTGCTGTTCAACACTTGCTGACTTGTCTGATCATCATGGCGCGATCTCCCCGTGATTGGCTGTCGCTGCAGGACGAGGCGCTGGGGGTGCAGCACGCCTACAAGCGCCAGCACCTGCTCTGGGCTGCAGCAGCCAATCCTCATGAGCACGGCGCGGATCCGGAGGCTCAGCGCTCCCCCGAGGAGCGCGCAGCAAGCATCCCCCGCCGCGGCGGGGTGTATGTTGACAACACCTTTTTTGTGGGGGGACCCCCCTCACTGTGGTGGCATGAGGGGTGACTCTCATACTAGTAGACAAGACATGAGGTTGCTCTTGGGGGGCAGCAGCGCGCAGCACAGCGCAGCGCGCGTACACCATCATACCTTCAAGTTAGCTGGAGTGTGTTGAGGCACAGTGGCAGCCATACGCTTGTGTTGGTTCAGTCGCCAGCGGCGACGGCCTCGTTGCACTCCTGTAGGACAGAGCTTACCTCTCTCGTGACGCAGCGGAGGTCACAGTGGTTGGTCGTTTTTTCTGGTGGGGTGCCAGGGTGGGTTGCAGTAGGCAATGCAGCAGCAGCAGCAGCAGACGGCCGGCCACGTTTGCAAGTGGCCAGATACTAGAGGCGGATCTTTACATGTTGTGAGAGTCAACCAGACAGAGCCCATTGTGATGCGTAGATGTCATCATCACACACATGACATGGTGCAGTTCAGGATCACAGCACGTGGTGCTACCCTTAGGCTACTAGTAGGGGGCAACGGTATAGGCATCGGCGCGCTTGGCACATTGCTGTGCACTCAAGACCACCGGCATCAGCCACCCTTTCATGTTGTATGTGGTCACTTGTGGTAGCTGAGCTGCAGCTGATACTGAAGTCATGACATTGTGCAGCAGCTCTGCAGGTAGCATACTATGTAGCGCACTGCTGGCACGACTGTGGGTGGCCATCATGGTTGGTAGTGATGCGCCAGTTTTAGGTATGCGTGGTGTCTTGCAGCCGCATGCATGGCATGCATGGGGGGCAGTCCGTGGCAGTATGCTGTCTCAGAATTTTGCGTGCCTGCAGGCTTCTTCTTCATGCACGAGTACAGTAGTACAAGCCCAGCTGCCAGTGCAGTTCAGACACAGAGTGTTGTCATGACCAGTACAGGGTAGCAGCGCCTGACAATGCGAGCTTATATTTGTGAGGCTGTCCCTGCTTCATGTTTTGCTCTTGTGACAGCTGTTTGGCTGTGTGCTCGGTCTGCATGGGGACCTGATGTCATGTTTCCCATTGATTGATGCATGCCTGAGGGTGAACTTGTAGTTTGCTGTGGCTTGACTGTCATCATGCTTACAGCCACAAGCACCAGCAGTCTGAGGCTAGTGGTCTAAGTCTACCCGTGAGTCAGCAGCTTCGGTGCCAAGTACTGAATATGTGTCATGCACAACCCAAGAGCAGGACCTGGTTTAGGTATGTGACAAATTTGTAGATCTAGAGGGAGTGACTTGTAGGCAAGACTCGTATTCATCGGCGAGTCTTGTCTACGAGTGTTTTTTTGAAAAAAGAAAAAACAGTTGCTCCTTTGCCGTACTTGAAAGTGGCGTGTGGGTGCTATGCCCGCCAGCATGTTCCTGGTTGCGGCCATGGAAAAAGGCATCGTTGCCTGAGATGAAAACCTGAGGAGGAGGGGGGGGGGGAACTTCGAAATTTGGGGCAGGGCGACGGCGCCGCTGCTGGAGGTCAGATAATGGGTGTAGCCTAGGCATCCCTTTGACAGCAGCGCCACCCAGTCCAGGACGTCGGCCAGGGAGGTGGGCAGGGCTTGAGGCACGGTGCGGGTGTTGTAGAGGACGCCGTCTTCCCTGGACCTGCTGCTGGGCAGGGCACCTCCCAGCAGCACAACGTCGCCACCACCGCTGCCTCCCCCTGGCGCTGCCATGACACATCCGTCCCCCCAGCCTCACGCGCTGCAACACCACTTCAACGCTCCGGGGGAATAACAAGTTCAAGAACGACTTGCCATCCTTTTTGAACCTTCCAAGAAGGGGCTTGAACCTACTGGAACCTACATGAATGTAAATCCAGCGCTCCACTGCCAATTTCACCACTTTGGCAACTCAGTCTAGAGTCTAGTAAGGATTCGAATCTATGATGACCGTACCGGGCACGTGCCTTTTCCTCTAGGCTGTACTCCAACAGTGAAGGTCGTCCACGTCTGCCACGACAGTGTGCTGTGCTATCCACCGCCACTGGCAACTAAACACACTCTGTCACCAGTTGGCCACTATGTAGAGCTTGATGGCTGCAGGTATGCATCGATGATATCACATGCCATCATGATGGGGTGGGATGATATCATACTGCAGATGGGCCGGACAGTTGCTGTTACTGGTCGCGTGGTGATTTGCACAGGACTGTGCAGCAGTGCTTACCTCCAGCTCGTGGTGGGGTGGCCCCCATGGTGGCCACTGACTGGGGGGGGGGGGGGGGCTTGTCGCTCCTGATGCGGGAGTCGGGGGGGGGGGGGTTGTCGCTGTTGACAGAGGCTGTTGTTGATTTTCAGGCCGAGGGTGGGGGGGTCTTGACAGCACCCGGAGTCGATTTTTAGGATGCAGCACGCCTACAAGCGCCAGCACCTGCTCTGGGCTGCGGAAGCCAATGCTCCTGAGCACTGCGCGGACCCAGAGGCGCAGCGCTCCCCAGAGGAGCGCGCAGCAAGCATCCCCCGCCGCGGCGGGGTGTATGTAGACAATAGTTTTCTGTGGGGGGACCCCCCTCGCTGTGGTGGCAGGAGGAGACTCAGTGTTAGACCTCATAGATGAGGTTGCCCTTGGGCACAGCAGCAGCGCGCAGCACAGCGCAGCACGCATTCAAGTCGGCTGGAGTGTGTTGAGGCATAGTGGCAGCCATACGCTTGCGTTAGTTCAGTCGCCAGCGGCGACGGCCCTTTTGCACTCTGTAGGACAGAGCTTCTCTCTCTCGTGAGTCATGACGCACGCGGGGTTACAGCATTGTGTCTTTTGGCGGGGTGCCAGATTCTGAAGTGAGTTGTACCTAGTAGGCAAATCGCAGCAGCAGCAGCAGCTAGAGGCGGATCTTTACATGTCGTGAGACTTGAAGTCAACCAGACAGAGCCCATTGTGTCGTGCATACAATTGATCACAGTCATGACACGTGGTGCAGTTCAGAAAGTTCAACACAGCATGTGGTGATATGTAGGGGGCAGCGGTATAGGCATCGGCGCGCTTGGCACATTGCTGTGCACTCAAGGCCGCCGGCATCAGGCACCCTTTCATGTTGTGTGTGCCAACACAGGCTTGATCTCCATGTACACAAACCCAGACTCCAGTGCAGTTCAGACACACAGAGTGTTGTCATGAGACCAGTGTAGGGTACCAGATGCAGCAGCACACGCCATCATGACAATGCAATCTCATATGGGATGTGGGATTGTAGAGGCTCTCAGAGGCTCCTGTGTGATGTTTTGCTGTACCTGTGCACTGCTGCTCATCTTGTGTTTGACTTAGTTTATTTTGTCAAAACTCGTAGGCGAGACTCGCCGATGCACACCAGTCTTGCCTACAAGTCTGCGCTAGTGTTCCTCAGCTGCTGCACAACTGCCCTCACATGCAAAGAGGTCAAACTCTAGTTTGGCAGCAGCATGGATGGCTTAGGTGGAGGGAGTGACTTGAAGTCTTGTGTGTTTTTTGAAAAGTTGCTGCTGTGTTCCTGGCTGGTTGCGGCATCGCTGATGAGAGAGGGAGAAACGTGAATTAGGGGGAAAATTGTCCTAATTGTCTGCTATATGGTCTAAAGTTGGGCCTTGGTTGCTGTCTCACAAGGCCTGGGGTCCCCTGGACAGGGGAAACAACCAGCAAAATGCGTTTGAAAACAAAGCATTGTTGTTGACATGAGTGAGTCTGCACTCAGTCTGATTGGTAGTGCACGATGACCGCACCATCGAGAAGCCTCATCACACAGCTGCTATGTGTCAGTTGGTCAGTAGTTCGCACAAGCAGAGAAGCCGACCCAAGAGACCACCATGGAGTCCGCAACTACGTGTGCAGCTAGCTGTGAAGGGCATATATGCATACTCATACATACTCATACATACAGGTGATCCATAACTTGTCTCAGTGTGTTTCTCTCTCTAACTGTAGCCAGCAGTTGGGGGGGATGACAACTCATGATGATGACTAATATTGGAGTGTTGACTGGGAGAGACTGGGACTGGGGAGGAGGGGGGTCGCTGTGGGCGCGACGATGGGTTTGTTGACGGTTTTCAGGCCGAGGTTGGGGGTCTTGACAGCACCCGGATTTGATTTTTAGCTAAAAGTCACACCGACAGGTTTCGATCCTGTGTCCCCCAGGTTATGAGCCTGGTGCGCTTCCTCTGCGCCACGGTGTGCTGATAGTATACAGGTTGCGGGCGAGAAGCCGACACGCGGAAGACGGTACACAGCGTGCGCTTGGCACGCTATCACCAAGTGCACACACAGGCATGGTTCCATCAGGATGGTTGTGGTGGCAGGCCCTACGACAACAAAAATACTTCCTGCGACTGTCCGCACTTTCTCTAATGGCCGTGCTGCTTCTCCTGCCAGCAGTACGTCCAGATGCTGAGGTCAACGTGCCTCGGGGATGGAGGAAGTCCGACAGGTTTTACGGCTTCAGGTGATGCGTATAGGTGGTAGTTTGCCTGCCTGATAGCTTTGCTACTTGTAAGTAGCTGCCACAGTTTCACTCAATTATCGCACGCGACCGAGTGCACACGAGCATATACAGCATGGTTTCATCGGGCTGGTTGTGGTGGCAGGCCCTACGACGACAAGGAAGATGCTTTTTTCGACTGGCCGCACTTTCTTTGGTGGCCGTGCTGCTTCTCCTGCCAGCAGTACGTCCAGATGCTGAGGTCAACGTGCCTCGGGGATGGAGGAAGTCCGACAGGTTTTACGGATTCAGGTGATGTGTTGTGTACAGTAGTAGTTTGCCTCTGCCTGATAGCTTTGCGCCTTGTTGATAGCAGCCACTGTTTCACTCGATTCTCGCTGATATATATGACTGTCTGGCTCTCCAGGTACGAGGTGCGAGGGCTGGTGCAGGACGTTGGATTCTTGCAGGTGAGCAACTCCTGATGGGCGCCTTGCCTGCACTGTTGCATCTGCGCAAGTGTGTGGCTTCTGAGACTCAGGTATTCATCTCTCCGCTCCTCTGCTGCTGTCATTTTTGCTAGGCTGCTGTGCATGCAGCAGAAGAGCTGGGTTGCTTTGGCTGGATCCAGAACTCCAAGGTGAACACCGTGGTGGGAGAAGCCCGCTGCAGCAAGCTGGATGGACCCAAGATGGTGGAGTTTCTGAGATTCGGCCCCGACGACGCGCGCGTAACAGAGGTAGTGTGTACAACAAGAGCTTGTGTGATTCGAGCACGCTATGTAGGCATGTGCCATTGACTGCCACCACCTCGTCTCCAATTCAAATCATGCATCGAGCATGTCTGAATGCGCAGTGGGCATGGCATCATCCTGGAAGGACCCGAAGTTGATATTTTTGTCCTTGTGGCCCCGCGCAGGTGCTGGTGAAGCCCTATGAGGACACCAAGATCAAGTTACACTTCGCGTCCTTCCTGGCACTGCCAGATGAGCGCAAGACATGTTTCAGGTGAGGTGAAGTGACGCAGCCCCACCCCCATGTAGTTGCCTGATCAATATGCTGCTGCACCACTGTAATAGTCACAGCTTGACAGCCTGTGTGTGATCCGTGCACTTGCCGCTGCAGCTGTAAATAACTATTGCTGTGGTGCTTACTTGCGCATTGCCGTGTCTGATGCACGCCGCGCGCTGCTCTCCAGGGCCATACCGCACCAGTGTCCAGAGTACGCCGGGCCAGTAGCGCCACCAGCAGACACCAGCTACCAAGATCACTCCCTCACTGCTGATGTCAGGGCCAAAAGCGAATTGTGACAGCATGGGGCAGCACAAGACGCTGAAAGAATGAATTCGTCACACAACATCCACTGATGTCAGCAGCACGGTGGTCCGCAAGCCAGTCTCTCTGTTTGAGACTGTCAGTTGCTGTGCCACGTGTGATGTGCTCTTTGTGCAGCACCAGTGTGGCACTTGTTGCTGCACATTCAGGCTGTAATTGGCGCCCATGCGTTGTGGTGGTGAAAGCTAAGGCAGCATTGCGGACTTGTGTTGTTGACAGCTCTGCATAGAGTCGCTGGCAGACTATACTCTGTTGAGTGGACACATTTCAAGTGGCGGAGCGCTTTGCTGATTACCTCTCAGATAAGCTGGCGGCACGCTGTGTGAGGGGGGATTCGCAGCTGTGCACCGTGGCACGTGCGTCAGGACCGTTCACAGAGTCTTATGTGCTACATATTGCAAGGAACCATGCTCCAGATCAGGACAATTGGATTGAAGTATCTATCTGTTGACCTGTTGTTGTACAGAAGCGGTAAATATACAAAAGATGCATACGACACACACACCATGGTGCACTCAGCATGTTGGCTTGATTCATGCCTGCGCGCTGCTGCAGAGTGCCTGCAACGGAGCCGTGTAGACTGATAACATGTGCGCTGCAGCAAACACCACAAGTGTACATATCAATAGTATGACTTAATACACAGCACCTCATCTGATGTCCTCGTGCCCTGACCTGGCGTCAGCACAGGATTTTTGCCAGCTGCGTGGCGCATCTTTCATGGACCATGGCCACCACGCTTGCTGGTGCAAGCACATGGTTTTTGAGACTAGTTGGAACATGAACATACAGATGCATACAGATGCTGGTCCAGCATCTGTATGTTCATTGCATTGCTCGAGTATGCCTTGCAGGCGGACGAGGTCTGTGTGCGGCGGACGTCATTCAGCTGATTGTGGAGCATGTGTGATTTTGCGGTAGACGTGGGAGGTAGGCACCTTTGGTAAGCGGAAAGTTGATCATCTGGCTGTTTGCACCCTCACCTGCAGTGAACGATCTGTTCACAGGGGGGGGGGGGGCATGGTTGAAGATCAAAAAACTTCAAAAAGGGGTTGGAGGTCTTTCAATTTTGGATCCTTAACGCGCGCGTCGGTGACGTGACCATGGAGCAAAAGACAGGCGGTGGTGCAACAGCTGCTGCGGCTGCGGCTGACGACCAAGATTTTGTGCCGGAGCTGCTGCCGTTGTCAGGCGATGAAGCAGCTGAGGGAGGAGAAGCAAACGCCCCCTTGCAAGGTAAAAACTATGCTGACGCTGCCTATACCTCCAGCCTAGCGCAGTGCCCGTCTGCATAGGATGACAATTCTTCTGCCGTCTTTAAAGCGTGAAACAATATACTTTCAAAGCCTGCTCTATTTCAGTGATCCAGCAGCAGCATATAGCACCTTTGAGCCGATGGCAACACACCAGCAAGATCATTGCGGCGGTCCAGGTTGTACGTTATGTCTTAGTTTGTGTATAGAAGCACATTTGCGGTTCCTTGGGGAGCAGTATTGTGCTCGGCAACACGACGTCTATCGTGTACAACTGATAGTCGCCCAGAGCGACGCTCGCAGCGATGTCAGTAATTGGCAGCCACGCTTGTGAGTTGTGAGAATCGTGAGTGCTTCAGTTCATGATACGAGCAGTATATAATGGCGAGAGTTCTTGCGATGCCATCACAGGCAATGCACTACCAGCCATCACTCCACAGAGCACCACGACCTCGTGTAGCGGTTCGCGACTCTGTTGCAGCGGCACGAGTCGTTCCCGCAAAGCCCACTCATCAACGCTGTGCGCTCCCCTCCTACGCCCCGCTGCAGCAACGGCGGCGGCAGCAGTGTCATCGCAGCGCGACAGCTGGCAGCCCAAGGAGAAGGAGCAAGGAGCCCCAACGCGGGAGTGCATGAAGCGCCTCATGACAGATCTCAGGGCCGTCATGCGCCTGCCGCTGCCGGGCATATTTGTGGCTCTCGACGAGCAGAACGCCACGCTGGTGCATGGGCTGGTGGTGGGACCGGACGATACGCCGTACGAGGGCGGCTTTTTCTACTTCATACTGCAGGTGACCGCCTCCTGTGGTGTTGTTGCTGCCGCGGCTGCTGCAGCCAGCGTCGCCGCCGCTGCTGTCGCTGCTGCTGCTGCCCTGCAGCTTTCTTGCACCTATGACGTCTAACAAGACTTACTGAAGTGTCGAGTCGAAGCCCCATCCTGCTGTCCCAGTACATCGTGTACCTACAAGTCCTGGGTGACGCAGTGCAGCTTCCATTTCGTCTCAAAGCATTTGCAGGCGCCTTGACCGCTTGCTTCAACACGTTATATTACAGCATGTGTGCATATGTGTCTCTGACGCCGATGCTCCCGCTCATGCGCTGTGCGCGCACTGCTCATGGCTGTGGCTGCTTGCGCGCGCAACTGCTGCCGCAGGCGCCAGACAACTACCCCCATGCGCCTCTGAAGGTCCGGCTCATGACCACAGGGGCCGGTACCGTGCGCTTCGGTCCTAACCTCTACAAGTGAGTGGCCGCATCTGAGGGGGGTGGGTGATGATGTCGGTGCTATCATTCAACTTCATGTTGTACAGTTCTCACTTAGCAGCTGTATTACTGGGTCCAGTGACACAGCGGCGACTGCATCAGAACGTGTTACGTGTGAATGTCAGCATTTGTACACCTGTAGGCTCGCATTGCTGCTCGCTGCTTTGGTTTAGGCCGTGTTGCAATGTGCCAGCACGTCAGCATTCATCAGTGTCACTGCTTCCCGCGCTTGTAAGGACCTTGTATGGGCAAACAAGCTCTGCAGAGTGAGTAGAGTCCATACGTGTCCTACTGAGTTTTGTCGAGCCATGTCTAGTCGTGAGCGCATTGTTTATGACCACCCGACGCCGTGCCTTGTGAGGCAAAGCGAGACATGTAGTGCAGTAGTCATCAAGTAGCATGTTCCAAATGGATGCCATGCACTCACTGCCGTGCCACAAGTGCCTGTGAATAGTATTGCGCTGGTTGCATGCGCCGCTTGTGCGTGTACGTAGGCTACTAAAGCACTCTACATATGGCTTCTAATAACCGCTGCCTCCTCACCGATACCATCGCTTCTCGCTGCCATGGCACCTTCAACGCATGTCTGTTGCAGCTGCTGCTCAATGCTACCCCAGGTACCGCCACTACTACAGTCTGAATGTTCGTTGTCCCGCGCTTGTACTGCTCTGCCATGTGCAGGAACGGCAAGGTCTGCCTCTCAATCCTGGGCACCTGGCAGGTGAGCACTGCTGTTTTGATGCCACTGTATGATGTCAATGGTGAGAGCCTGGGCGGAGGGCGGGAGTGTCACTTCCAGCACTTTGATCAATACTCTCATATTGTTAGCTGACTAGAGTCCGAGTTTTAGAATTCATGATGACTGGCACTGCACTCAAGTTTTTTTCGCTCAGGATGACATTGATAGC